AGTTGCGGCAGTCCACGCGCCTGACGTCGGCAACGTGGGCGACTCGCCCGACGTGTTCTGGGAGGAGGTCTCGGACGAGGTCGAGGACCCGACCGCGGGCATGTTCGACGTGGACATGCCGGACGAGCTGGACAAGGGGCTCGCGCCAGGGCACCTGCAGAGCCTCCTGGGCCACGGCGTCGGGGAGGACATTCCCAAGTCGGAGGCGAATCGGACGAAGAACATCACCGTGCGCTGGGAGAAGCAGTGGAGAGGGAAGCCAGCGCAGCGGGAGTGGCAGCGCAAGGTTCGATTCGTCTGCTGCGAGTTCCGCCGGCAGGAGTGGCGCGACGACTTGTTCGCGCCAGGATCGGCTCCGATCGCCAACAGGCTCGTCGACTTCGCGCCCCTCAAGCGCGGCTTCGAGATGATGGCGCTAGACGCGACGGACGCCTTTTACCAGGCGCCCGAGCACGAGGACGCGGTGGTGGACCCCCCGCGGGAGTACCTGGACATGCCCCAGGCGGAGGGCAAGGGCGCGGACATCTACTGGAAGCTGAAGAAGCAGCTGCCTGGCAGGCGCACGGCGGCGCCAGGCTGGGTTAAGCTTATGGCGGACACCCTCACGGACGAGACGCACATGACGAGGTGCGAGGTGGCCCCGCAGTTCTTCTATACTCCCGAGAGCGAGGTGGTGGTGGAGCTGCACGTGGGCGACCTGCACATGGTTGGGTCGAGGGGCGCGCTGGAGGGCTTCCGCGAGGAGCTCAAGCTACACGTGACCTTCAGCGGCGGCGAGATTCACGAGCTCGGCGCCACCTACGAGCGCCTGGCGAGGCTGAGGACGAGGTTCGAGCGCGAAACGGGGCTGCATGCGAACCCTAAGCACCTGGACCACGTGGTGGGCACCCTCGGCCCGGGCAGCTCGAACACCACACCTGCGCCAGGAGTGCCAGCTCACAAGGCACTCATGGGGAGCGCGCCCGTTCTGTCACAGCAGCAGTGGGGGGTCTACCGCTCATGCGTTGGGGCGCTGCTGTGTGACACTCAGGACAGGGCGGACTGCCAGTTCGAGGTCAGCCTCCTTGGCAGGATGCTGTCAGGCCCCAGCGCCGGTGCCTTCACCGCTCCGAAGAGGCTTGCCAGGTGCCTTCTAGGGGCCAGGGACGCGGTGAATTGGCGTCTGAAGCCGACAGAGGGAACCAATGTGGAGCTGGTGGGTTACGGCGACAGCGACTAGGCAGGCGATCTGCACGCGCGGAGGAGTACTGCGCGGCGACTGCGGTCGCCGAGGACACTCTCTACTACAAGTCGCTGCTGGAGTTCATGGGCTCCGCAGTGACGGCCACGCTACTCGCGGATGCGTCGGTGGCCCGAGGGATTGCCAGACGCGAAAGAGTTGGCAAACTCAGGAGTCCGGAGGCGCGAGTGCTCTGGCCCCAGCAGGCAATCAAGCGCGAGCAGATCGACATCGGGACCGTCGGCGCGGGCGACAACCGAGTAGGCCTGGGCGCGAATATTCTCGGACACGATCGGTTCGTGAAGCTCAGGACTCCGAGCGGCATCTACACGGACGCGGGCCAGGTCGCGGCGAACGACGAGCGAGCAGTCGGAGGAGGTGGACTTCGACGTGGGGGCGGTTGCTCGGGCGCGGCGCTCGTGGAGCACAGCGAGCCCTCTCAGTGGCAACCGCCCGGCGGCCCTGGCAATGATCGCGGCGGCGGCGGCGCCCTTGCAGGGCCGCGAAGGCCCCCCCCCCCCCCCCCCCCCCCCGTCGAGTACAGCGGCCATTGCAGCGACGCGGAGGTCTGCACCTCTGTGGACGGCCTAGTCGCGAGCGACCACTCGAGCTACTTGCTGATGCCCATCGCGCGGCCGCTGGTCGCGGCTGCCGTCGGCGGCTACGCGGGCTTCCGCTGCGCCGAGAGCAGGGGCTCAGAGTGGCCCCTGGCCCCGCCAGAGCCCGATGACAAGAAGGATGCGGCGCCCACGGACATGACAGTGATACTCAACGTGCCGGCCTCATCGGCCACGCAGCGTCCTGACCAGGTACGACGCGCCATTGGTACGCAGTCACAGACATCATACAAGTGGAAGTGGGCGACTCCGCGTTTTCAGCCAGTACCAGACTACGCGCGCGGCGCCTGCCTTGACGCGCGCGTGGACAGTGCCAAAGGAGCCGTTTTGGACTGAGCGGGAAGCTCGAGGCAGAGGACCTTCAGCGGCTGCGCGTCGCGCTGGAGACAGGGCCAACGCGAGATGTTACTGAGCTTCCGCTCGTTTCCGCCGTGCATAATACTAGAGTTCTCGCCCCTTGGATGAGTTCAGGGAGCTGGCCAGCTAGAGCATTTGATATTTAGCTTGGGGGGCGCCACAGCCCCTCCACGTTTGAGAATATTTATTTCGGAGAACCGGTTGAAAGCTCGACTCGGTGCCCCGCGCCGAAATTCCAAAGGGGCGCGTTGTAGATTGTATTTGCTGGGGTCGGAGACCCCCATTGCAGGATATAGCATGGCACGGCATGGAAGCAGTACCATGAGCAGGTCCTTTTGGTTTCGATAGCGATAAGCATCTCAGTCGATAGCGCCACAGAAACTCACAGGGCGAATTCGTGGTGGGAGCAACGAGTTCACCACATCGGGACCGAGTCAGGGGAGAGACGGTTCAGATTTTGTAGCTAAAGGTTAGTTGTGGAGTCGGAGGAGTGGCAGGAGTAGCAGGAGGAGAAGCAACAAAACAAAAGGCTGATCACAATGGTGAGGGCGCAGGCGGGGAGGGGGGGGGCGAATGATAAAAGGAGCAGGGGGGCGAGCGCAAGGTGGGAAGATGAGGTGGGCGAGGAGGGAGGAGGAGGAGGAGGAGGAGGAGGAGGAGGAGGAGGAGGAGGAGGAGGAGGAGGAAACGGTGGATGGGAGCGAGGAGCCTTCCCCTTGCCCCAGCCCCGGCTTCCCCAATCCACGGTGGTGGACACAGCTGGAAATCTGTGGCGGAACCCGTCCGAATAGGTCGGGATTGAGATGTCATACGTGCCAGCCGAACAAAACGAGCGGCATGCCGGCCCCACGCGCGGCCGCCTCCTTGGGCGAATCGGGGGTTGTTTTTGCATTGCCATTACCATCTCCGCATTCCCCTTCGGATACAACTCCTGGGAGGATAAAGTCGGCAGCGGCACTGGTATATCCGTGGTCGAGAATTCGCCTGATCCGATAATGTGCCGTTTGATCCCGCTGAATCGGGCTTCATTTGGGTTGGTCTCGTTTACAGTTTGCGATATGTATTTATCATATACCGTGTAACGGTCGTGAACTGGGCCAAATCCCCTTCCCAACCAGCGCAATGCCAACAATCGTGCGCGGGGGGGGGCTCTTGCCGCATCTCGGATCAACCCGAGCCAACTCGGACGAATTTCAACCAACGGGTACTTTTCCCCACCAGCACGTTCAGACAAATTGGTGCGAAGTCCAACCGGCCCATTTCACCCCACATTATGATTATGATGCGGCGATGAGAATATATCACTAAAACAAAATATATGTCCTTACGCGTGCACATGTATTCCAGAAGCTAACATTAAGGGCTTACGGCCCAAAGGTGTAAGGGCTCAAGGGTTTTTGGTTTAAAGGGTTCGAGTTTAAGGGCTTCAGGGTTTATGACCTTAATGGCTTTTGGCTCAAGGGAGTAACGGTTTATGGGCTTACGGGTTCATGGTTTAAAGGCAGGTGGTCGAAGGGTAGGTGGGCTAAATGTTCAAGGGTTGAAGGGTTTAAAGGGTGAATGGTTTAGCTGTTAAAGGGGTCAGGGCTTACGTGTTTAAGGATTAAAGGCCCTAATGGCTTAAAAGTATAAGGGTTTAGTGGCTCAAGGGTGTCAGGCTTCAAAAGCTTTTGAAATTCAATGTCTCAAGGTTTCACGGGTTTAAAGCTTTAGTCCGAAGGCTTAAGGGCTTAAGGGCTCACGGACTGAATGGTTCAAAGCGTTAAAGGTTGATGTGTTAAAAGGTTTATAGTGCTTGGGGCTTTAAAAGTTTCAGAGTTTAGGGGATTAAGGGTTTACGTGTATTGGGGCTTACGGGTTTAAGGATGTAGGGATATGAGGGGTTAAGGGTTTAACACCTCCCAGAGGCACCTGTGAGACACCTCTTAGAGGTACCTGTGAGACGCCCGTACAACACCTCTCAGAGATGCCCGTAAAACACCTCGCAGAGGCGCCTGCGAGACGCTTGTGTAACACCTGTCAGAGGTGCCTGTCAGACACCTCTGAGATACGCCTCTCGCGCCTGCAAGACACCTCTTAGAGACGCCTGAAAGTCGCCGCCTCTCAAAGACGCCTGTAAGACGCCTCCCAGAGACGGCTGTAAGACGCATCTCGCAGACGCTTGTAAGACGCCTGTAAGAGACGCCTGCAAGTTGCCGCTCAGAGACGCTTATAAACCGCCTGTAAGGCACCTCTCAGCGACGCCTCTCAGAGACGCTTGTAAGACGCCTCTCAGAGACGCCTTTCAGAGACGCCTTTAAGACGCCTCTCAGAGACGCCTGTACGACGTTTCTCAGGGGCGCCCCTCAAAAACGACTCTCAGAGACGCCTGTAAGACGCGCAGAAGGCTCTTCATGCAGGGTGGTCGGAATTCGTGCCAAAGTGCTTGCATGTAGTACCAAAGTGGTTGGAATCAGTACCAAAGTGGTTGGAATTCGATCCAGTGGGTTTTAAATTGTTCCACTTCCAGGGCCTGCCCCCCCCGCCCCCCCACCCCCACATGCTGGTGCACGCGTGCAAACTGCTGCGATCGCAGCGCAGCCCCGCCCTGACGTGCCCCCACCCCGCCTGAGCGTTGCCACCACCCGGGGCCCTGAGCCCCCCACCCCCCCCACCCCCACGTGACGGCCGGTATCAGAAAGACCTGCACAACGGCCCTCTTCTCATCGCTAGCGCGGCGTCTTCCCCTCAGCTGCCTCCTGACCTCGCCCTCCGGCTCCGTCGCCCTCTCCCTGCCTCTCTGCTCTCGAGGGGGGCCGGGGCCGCAGGCACCCGCACCTCGCCCGGGTGCAGGCGGCGGGCGGCGCCGCGGACCTGAGCAGGACGCCCGCGGTCCTCGCGTTATGTCGGGTGTGTCCCCCTACAGGGGGATGTTCGACGAAAAATACAAAAAATACCCCCCAAACGCCCCACAAAGGCCCCCCAAATATGGAAAAAATAGGCCCCGGATTATTTTTGGGGTATGTGTTCTTGATTATTGTGGGTGCATTTTTACATCAGTCTTTCGTAGATAATCCCCCTGTAGGGGCACAGGCCCGACTTAAGCCTCGCGCCTCCGTCGTCTCCCGGCCCTGCCCTGCCCTGATGGTCCGCTACCGGAAGTTTCCGGTAGCGCTCCGCAGAGATCGGTCGCTACCGAAATACCGAAATGTAGCGCCCAGTACCTGTATCAGAGCGTTCTGAAATCCGCTATTTCAACGCCCTCAAACGAAGATCCGGTCGCTACCGAAATTCGGGGTGCGTCGAAATCGCTACCGAAAATCTCCGGTACCAGACCATCTGGGGGCTGCTGCTGCGGCCCCGCGTCCCAGGGCGCGCCCTCGGGGCTGCCAGTGGTGCCATGTCGGGGCGGGCCCTGTGGGGATCACGCCCTCGGGCCGCCGTGCCTCTTGGGCGCCCCGTGCCCCGTTCTGGTGGCCGGGGGCCCCCTCCCGCCGTGCTCTCCTGCTCCCTTCTCCCTTCCGCGCGCGCGCGCCGTCCCCTCGCTCTCCTCCTCGTTGCCCCCTCCTCCTCCTCCTCCTCCTCCTCCCTCCCTCCCCTCCTCCTCCTCCTCCTCCTCCCTCCTCCTCCTCCCTCCTCCCTCCCTCCTCCTCCTCCTCCTCCTCCTCCTCCTCCTCCTCCTCCTCCTTCAGGCCTGGACGCTTCCCCCTTCCCTCCGCCTCCTGCGCCATGTGCCTCCTCTGCCTCGTTCCAGCATGCAGCAGGTGAGGCCATATGAATATGCACTGCCGCGGCTTTTTCAGATGGCGCAGCCCCCCTTCCACGTCCAGGCTGCAGACGAGAGCGTATGAGGCGCTCCAGAACAGAAAGGGCTTCGCCTTCGAGGACCGAAGGAGTTGCCGTCAGCCCTGGTTTTGTCTAATGTGTCGGGCGCCTTCCTGCCACGCGCGTCAGGGCTGCGCGAAGCGACCGCGCGCTGCGACCCTGGGCTGCGCCAGAGCTGACAGCACCCGAAGGTCTTCCCAGGCGGTCCCCCACCCCAGTACTAAGCGGGCCCTGCGCCGCTTAATTTCGGACCCAGGCGGAGGCGGCGGAAGGCGGCGGAAGTGAAACGATGGCAGCTGCACCAGCGGAAGCTGGCTGAAGTACTAAAAACCGGTTTTCCAAGAGATGGCAAGATTTGTGGGTTCAGGTTTTCCAGAGACCAGCATCTGGCTCGTAAGTGTTGTTGCCTCGCCCTCCGCGTTTCCTGTGTCTTTTCACTTGCTTCTCCTCTAGGTTTCGTGAATGGGGCCCGAGTAGATGGGGCCGGAGGATCGCGCCGCATCGCCGATGCATTTGCGATGCTGCTCGATGTTGAGTCCGATGTTCTCCACGCAAGCATCACCGATGCACCGCCAACGTCGCCGATGCGGCGCAATACTTCGACCCCATCTCTTCGGACCCTACCCAGGGGGCCTCTATTCACCTGCCGCTCTTCCCCCCAGTGCAGTCCTCGGGTCTCTCGCTGTCCCCCGCGCGGGCTGCCGTCGGGCCCCTCGGCGGACTCTGGGCGGGCAGGTGCCCGGGGGGGGCGGCGGCGGAGGGAGGACGAGAGAGGGGGCGGACGGAGGGGGACTGGGCTCAGGGGGGGAGCGGGGGGAGGAAGGTAAAGGCAATGGACAACGCCACGGGGGATGGGCTCAGGGGAGATGCATCGGCCCCCCAGTGCCCCTTTCATCGCCGATCGGGGCCGGATAGCCCATGCCGCGCGGCAGCGTGCCGATTTGCGATAATGGGGGCCTCGCGTCAAGTCGGGCGTGTCCCTCTACAGGGGGAATGTTCACGAATAGTAAAAAATAGTCGGGGGACGGTGTTTCATCATCCTTTTGAAGATTCAGATCGGCAAATTGTACCCTCTCGACGCACACTCTAGGCTCAAGGGGGCAAGCGCCTTCCCCTCTAGAGTCGGGCGCGTCCCCTTCTAGAGGCTCGTCCAGAGGCCCCTCTGGAGGCCTCTAGAGGTCCCTGTAGAGACGCCTCTAAAGCCCCTTAGAGCCTCCAAGCCTCTGCTCGACATCTGCAGGTATTCTAAAGCTTTCTCGCTACTCCTTCACTCTGCCCGTCCTTCTGGAGCCCTCAAAATGGTCCTCCAGTCCAGTTCCCCCCTTCAAAGAGCACGCGATTCCCGTTAGCCTCTCCCGAGAAACTGGTGGAGGCGGTGGAGACGACGGAGGACGAGGAACGGTTCCACCGAACCCACTACCCTCCGAACGCCCGTTTCCAGTCCGACCTCCCGCCTCGAAATTCCGATCCAGACGCGCCCCAGGATACGCCCCCGTCTCGAACTATCCCCCCAGGGTCTTCGCCGAGCCATGCATGCCAAAGGCTGCGCCTCGCCGAGGTCACTTCCGCTGTACCCGGACCGCTCCGACTGGCTTCTGGAGGCGAGACACAGGACAGGCCCTCGTCTCGCTGTTCGCCCCAAGGCATTCACAGCGGCATCCATGCCAAAAACTGCGCCTCGCCGAAGGCACTTCCGCCGTGCCCGAATCGTTCCGACAGGTTTCTGGAGGCGCGAGCTCTCGCCTCGACATGCCGACCAAGACGCATCCCCCCGTCCAGGCTCAAGGATTCCCGTTCGAGGCAGCGTCGTCGCCTCCTGGGACCGTGATCGCCGCGGAATGCCTTCCACGGCGCTTCCACCATGACTCGCCGGCAGTACCCTTTGAGGGCCGCGCATGCCACTACACCTTAGGCGATGCTTAAGAAAACCTAAGTTTTCGTCCAGAGTCTCGATTATTCTTAACTTTTCAATGTAAATCCCCAGATGTTGATAGAAGTTCTGGGGTTTATTCAATATCTGAGACTATGAATTTCTTAACCCATGATTTCTTAAGCATTTCGCAGGGTGTACTTCCAATGGCTCCCAAGGATGCACCCGCGACGCCTGCCGCGCGTCGGCTTCCGCTGGCCGCTGGCCGACCGGGGCGAGGGATGTAGTCCCAGGGGCTCGATGCGTGCACCACGACGTTTGGTCGGCCAGGGACTTCAAGGAGCTCAGCGGAGGAGCTCGGCCCCCCCAGGGCCTTCGCCGAGCCATGCATGCCAGAGGCTGCGCCTCGCCGAGGTCACTTCCGCTGCACCCGGACCGTTCCGACTGGCTTCTGGAGGCGAGGCGCAGGATAGGCCCAGCGACGACGGCGACAATAACGACCACGACGACGGCGAGGACGAGTCAAACGGAACAGCCTCTTCCACACGCCGACAGGGTCGGCGGATTCGTCGTCCAAAATCCGCCTGTAGGAGGACAGGCCCGACCTAAGCTTAACGCCGATTTCATCGGCGACGCGTCGCCGATGCCAGGCCGACGCTTCTACCCCTGAGTCGCCCCCCCCCTGGCGCCCCCCCTCAGGGAGGAGGCACGGGGCAACAGAGCGATGGAGAACGGGGGGCGAACGCGGGGAAGGACATGGAGGGGTCGGGTGTTGCCAGAACCGCCCGTGGCCCGAGGTGTCCCCGGGATCTCCAAGGACGCCCCCGCGGCCTCCAGAGCACGGTTTCCGAAACGCCCCTCCCGAGGCCCAAGAGGCCCGAGGTGCTCCACAAAATGGAGCGACAAGCTGGGGGCACCTTGGGAGGGGAACAAGGTGAAACGGAGGAGGAGGAGGCGGAGGAGGAGGGGGAGGAGGAGGGGGAGGGGAACGAGGGGAGAGGGAGGTAAGAGGAGGAGGAGGAGGAGGAGGAGGAGGAGGAGGAGGAGGAGGAGAAGGAGGAGAACCAGTGTAAACCCAAGAGCCATCAACGATGTTGGAAGACACCTTCTCTCCAAGCTCCCTCTTCGTAGTCCCCTGCAACCGTGCATTACCATTGGGGGATATGCCTCGTTGGAAGACAACCGTTTGAAGACCCGGAAGCATGCCAAAATATTGTTTTCGGGATTACAACGCCGCGGATCAACCTGATTGTTGCGTCTTGACGATCCTGGATCGTGCCAGAAAATCATTCTTGGGACTTCAGCACCGCGAGTCAATATAATTGCTGCACCCGCAAAATCTGGAATCCTTCCAAAACACCGTTTCTGGTTCGTTGATCGTGGGAATACGAGAATTCTCGCAAATTGTGTGAATGAATCTGCGCGGCGCTAAGACGAGAGCCACATTTGCAAAACAGACTATCCCCAATCCGTGAAGCTTTTGCAAGTGTTCAACATGAATGTACGCGGTGCTAATGCGAGAGCCACATTTTGAACAGGGGCGATCCTAAACCCATGAAGTGCTAGACGCTTTCGAGTACGGCGGTGGTACTTCGCGCTGAGTGGTTCAGCCTTTAGCGTGTCGCTTGGGTGCTACCTGCCTGATCGGCTAGGTTGGTTGCGCGGACTGGCGCCGACAGGGCGACTCTTCCGCTGCGTTGCGCTGCGGCTGCTTCACCTTTGTGTGGCTGGCGCCTAGGTGCGTTCGCCTTAATGTGGAGCATTTTGCTTATTGCATGTTCACATGCGCTTTCTTTGCGTTTTATTACTGCAGGTGTGTTGCCTGTTGTAGCTAATTCGCCTCGCCAGCTGGCCCAGACGACGCCTTCCGCTCCCTGTCCGCCGCCTCGGAGCCGCCGACCACAAAAAAATATCCCCACCAACCCATCCAGAAACGGTGTCCAGGCGAGTTGAGGTGATCAGGGAAGTGCGGCAGCAAAGAGGAGGACGGCCGAACCGTGCAAAGGAGTGAGGAGGAGAAGGAGGAGGCGGACGGATGGATGATGGAGTGGGAAGAAGGAGGATGAATAGGATGAGGAGGAGGCGGAGGAGGAGGAGGAGGAGGAGGAGGAAGAGAAGGAATAGGAGCAGGAAGGAGGAACAGGAGGAGGAGGAGGAGGGCAAGCACAAGGGCCAAAAGGTCTCTTGGATGCTTCTCGGGGCCTCTTGGAGGATCTCTTGGGCGATTTTTGGTGGCCTCTTGGGACGTCTTGGGGGTCTCTTGGCGATCCTGGGGGGCTCTTCGGGGTCTTGGGTGTCTCGGGGGGGGGCCTTTTGGGGCCGCTTAAGGTCTCTCCGGGGGCCTCCTGGGGGCCCCTTGGGGGCCTCGTGGGGCCACATCTTGGGAACTCTTGGGGCCTCCTGGGCGCTTCTTGGGGCCATCTTGAAGGAGATCGGTCAACGAAAAGGGGTCCCTCAATTAAGGTCCCCCCCCAGGAGACCAAAATGGGGCCCAAACCATATTAAGATCAATGATTTTGGTTTCCTCGCCGAAGCCGTTTTGGACGCTCTAACTACCCGCGGCGCGCACCGTCCAGGTCCAGGGGAAGGGGGTAGGGGGAGGGGTAAACCCCTCCCCGAAGGGGAAGAGGGAGGGGTGTAAGAGGAAACGCCTTAAACCACCGACGCCCAGAAGGCTGGTGGGATTCTTGCAATGTTGAAAACGAATGTGCGCGGCGCTAAAACGAAAGCCGCATTTTGAAAACCACCCGCCCTCCATAGGTTAAACTGTGGCAGTGCTTCAAGCTCCTGAGTCACAAATGGTGAGGACGTCTCAGGCGAAACGCCCGGCCCGCCCTAAAAACTGGCCTTCGGGTGCGACACGGAGTAGGTATTCACAAGGAAAAAGAATGGAGGAAAAGTAGGAGGAGGAGGAGGAGGAGGAGGAGGAGGAGGAGGAGGAGGGGGAGGAGGAGGAGGAGGAGGAGGAGAGGGAGGAGGAGGAGGAGGAGGAGGAGGAGGAGGAGGAGGAGGAGAAGGAGCGGGAGGAGGAGGAGGAGGCGGAAAAGGAGAGGGAGGAGGAGGAGGAGGAGGAGGAGGAGGAGGAGGAGGAGGAGGAGGAGGAGGAGGAGGAGGAGAAGGAGGAGGAGGAGAGGAGGAGGAGGAGGAGGAGGAGGGGAGGAGGAGGAGGTGGAGGAGGAGGAGGAGGAGGAGGAGGAGGAGGAGGAGTGGGAGCGAGAAGCAGCGAGGAGGGCGTGGAGCCTGCACGCGGCGAGCTCTTCCCCCCGCGGCGGCGGGCCGCCAGGAGGGCGCCTGAGGCCCCGGAGGGCGTGCCGTCCCTGCTCCAGCTGGGCTCGGGCGGGCCAGGGTGCGACTGCGAGGACCTCGGCCGGGGCGCGCTCCAGCAAGAGCCTTTGGGAGCCTCGAGACGGGGGTCAATGCAAACGGGGGTCAGCCAGGGCACCGGATCCTGCGGGATCCTGCGAAGACCCCTCTGGCTGACCCGGGTTAGCGCGCCGTTCGTGGCCGCGAGGCGGCCGCGCATATTGGCTGACCCGGGTTTGCGAAGACTTGCGTTGCAGTTTTTGTTCTTGCATTGCAGTTTTTGGTTTCCTGCTGACCTTGACCTGTTTTCCCCTGACCTTCCAGGAGGGCTAAAAAATAGCACCCGACCTAAAGACCTATCCCAGAGCTATTCTACGTCTTGATTTTAGGCCGTTTCGCGCGGGTTTTTAGGTTTTTAGGTCTCCAGTGCTAAAAATAGCTCTCTGGAAGGTCAGGGTCTGTTAGACTCAGGCAAGTTCTCATGGCGCCAACCTCGCAGAGCGGATTTCGTTCGGACAGCGATGGCACGGGCCCGGGCTGTCCTGGAGAGTTGCGTTCCGGATTTCGGGGTGAGGTTCGTGCGGGTCCTTTTTAGCTAGGAACGAAGTCCAAACAACAGTCCACGCAACATGCACTCCGTTTTTCGCTCGCCGTTTCGGGGTTTTGCGTTGACAGGAATCCACGCAGAAATCCGCTGCAGCACGTCTTCAATGAAAGTTTACTTGCATGGTGTTCGCCCCCTCCCCCCCTCGCCCCCTTTTGAAGCGAATACTGGCGTGCAAGTGCCTTTCGACTTGCATGATTTTCGCACGTGCAAGTCGTTTGCGGCTTGCTTCAGGTTCATCACCCCCGTCCATGCAGGTAAAATTGCCGGGGTCTGGCAAAAAAGGATCCAGGGGTCAGCTCGGCGGCGTGCGAGGGGGGAAGTGAGAAGGAGAATGCCTTTCGAAGAAAAAAAACAACATACACATAAAAACTGTTGGCGCTCCGCGCGGATTTCTTGGATCTGCGTTGGGCCCCCCAGCGGCGCCTCTGGCGCGCTCCGCGCGCCAGGGAGGGGTGTCCAGCGCAGATGCAAGTCTACGCGGAGCGCCAACAACTTATATGTTTATACCGTTGTTTCTGCTGTTAGCCTTCTCAGAAGGCGGCGTGGCTTCTCAGATGCCCTCGCACCTGAGAGAAGTCTTCTGTCTTCGGGGAAGGCTCAGGGAACCTCTCAGCAGGCCAGGTGGGACTTCCGAGCCCTCTGAGAAGGCTCGCCCTTCTCACTTCCACCCCTTCGCTCGCCGCGAATCACTGTGGGGGACGCCGGACCTGAGGGAATCGGGTCCTGAGGTTTTTCGCCTGTTTCGGGCTCTTGGAGCCCTCCATGGGCTTCAAGACTGTCAGACAACGGCTTATGATCAATAACTCGTCCTGGGGGCGCCAGGATCCAGGGCCTTTTTTTCCTCAGGACCCGTTTCCCCCTTGCAAATTACGGGTGTCAGGCAGCAGACATGCTCGTGTCGTGGAGAACGATCACGACGTAAGGTGTTTGGTATGCTCTGGTCTTTTGGGACTCGCTGGGCCTTGGGGCCGTCAAGGAACTAAAAAGGGTGATGAGCCGAACTTGAGGAAAGGGCCAGGACCCCTCCTGAGACCGCGTTTGACCGAAAGCAAAGTTTCGCATGCCCTGGCTACGAGTTCACACATACATGTTCTATCCCCCGGATTGGCATCACATGATATTGCGAAGCCTATCGCAACGATTCCTTCAGTCATGGAGGGCGCATCCCTAAAATGGTCGTCGGCTTTAAACATGTCAGTCTCAGGGATAGAGACAAGCTCGAGGCTGGTTGTCCAGCCGAGTCCTTCCGGTACTATCTGCCTGACCTTGGTTTGGGGACCACGTCAAGTTGGTGCCCCCTTCCTTTCCTCCGCTTGCCTCTGGCTGGGAGCCGCTGTGCAGCAAGCTGGGATTCGGGACGGGTCCCTGGCTGTTCCCGGTAGGGGCGCTGGCAAGAGGGTTGGGGGGACGGAGCAGCACAGCACAGGTGGACGGGGATAGGGGAGGCGGGTGTGGAGAGACAGGATGAGGGGACGCGCGAGATAAGAGAGGGAAAGGGGGGACGAGAGAGGAGGAGGAGGAGGAGGAGGAGGAGGAGGAGGAGGAGGAGGAGGAGGAGGAGGAGGGCGTGGGAGGAGGAGGAGGAGGAGGGGGGGGAGGAGGGGAGGGAGGAGGAGGAGGAGGAGGAGGAGGAGGAGGAGGAGGAGGGAGGAGGAGGAGGAGGAGGAGGAGGAGGAGGAGGAGGAGGAGGAGGAGGAGGAGGAGGAGGAGGAGGAGGAGGAGGAGGAGGAGGAGGAGGAGGAGGAGGAGGAGGAGGTGGAGGAGGGAGGAGGAGGAGGAGGAGGAGGAGGAGGAGCGGAGGAGGGAGCGTGGGAGGCGAGAGAACAGGCGTGGGGAGGGATGCGCGGAGGGCGTGGAGGAGGAGGACGAGGAGGAGTAGGAGGAGGAGGAGGAGGAGGAGGAGGAGGCGGAGGCGGAGGAGGAAGAGAAGGAGGAGGAGGAGGAGGAGGAGGAGGAGGAGGAGGAGGAGGCCCATCGCACGGCTTCGAAAGGGCCTGCTGCGACCCGAGCGCTTGCCTGGGGGGAGCCTCCTTGGACAGCCCCCTCAAAACACGGAGGCGGCATGACCGCAGCGTGCCCGCCCGCAGGGCCAGCAGCGGGCCGCGGCGCCCCTGGGCCAGCAGGGCTTCCTCCAGCCCGGGCCCGGGTTCCCCGCCGTGCCGGACTACGCCCAGGCTCTCGCGCCAGGGCGGGCCAGCGACGACGACGACGACGACGACGACGACGACGGCGACGACGACGACGACGGCGACGAGATCCGTAGCCATTTTGGCTCAAGGCCATGGCGATCCCGACGACCGCAAGTCCTTCGGGCGCTGTCGAGCGCGAGGGACGCCGCGCCCTGGGCCAGCTTCTTGCTTCGTTTCTCCGATGCAGCGTGGCCAGGCGGATCGCGCGGGGCCAGCAGCCATGTCGGGCGACGGGACTGGAGCGCCGCGGCGCAGGGTGTACTGGGTCTGCCAGTGCAAGGAGTGGAACTGGTGCGACAGGCGGGCGACCTGCAAGTCGTGCGGGAAGGAGGCGCCAGCGTGGGCGAAGCGCCTGCGCGCGGCGCACCTGCCCCAGGCCGACGGGGAGGGCTTCGTCCAGCAGCCCAGAGGGCGCTCGCACCAGCGTGCTGCGCGCCGAGCTGGTGACGCCTCCAGAACAGCCTCGGCAGCCAGCACCGTGCCGAGCAGCGCGCCCAACAGCAGGGGGCGGCCGCGGGGCGGTGCCAAGCCGCCGCCATGGCGTGAGGAGCGCGGGGAGCAGCCAGAGGAGCCTGCGTCGAGTCTGGAGCGCAGGCTCGAGGAAGCCCAGGCTCGCATCTCCAGCCTCCGCGAGGCGGTCGCCATGGAGGAGACCAGCGAGGCCTTCCAGCGAGAGGCCAGGGCGGCCCTCCTCGCGGCGGAGGCCTCGGCCGAGAGGGCAGAGGCCGAGCTCCGCGAGGCCCAGCGGCTCGGGAGGCCCCCCCACGCCGTCCTCCACGGCGGCGCCAACGCCATGCAGAAGGTCGAGAAGCAGATCGCTGCAACCAGAGCCAAGCGCGAGCAGGCCGTGCAGCGGGCTGGCTCCCTCAGAGGGAGGATTGCGGCGATACAGGAAGAGCTGGCCGAGACAGAGTCCGCGGTCGAGGACTTTGACAGCCTGCTCGTCAAGCTCGAGGAGTCGAAGGCTCAGACAGTCCAGCAGGCGCTCCAGCGGGCCATCGAGGTGTGCGGAGGCCAGCAGCCCCTCGAGACCGCGGTCGGGGGCCTCGTCACCCAGGTCAGCCAGCTGGGGGAGATGCTCGGCCGCAACGCGGACGGCGTCGCGCCCAGGCTCCTGGAAATCATGGGCATCATTGCCACGCAGAGCGCTGCCATCTCGGACATGCTCCACCCCGCTGCGCCTGCTGCCGCAGCCTCGCGTTGGGCCGACGGCCTTGGCGGGGACGGGCTCGCCGTCGACGACGAGGAAGGCCCCCCCGCCCCAGCCGCTGGAGCCTCCGCCCCCGCAGTGCAGCGGCCGCCAGCGGAGGCCGCAGGGCAGCAGGTGCGGCCAGGCCCGCCCACCCAGCGGGCGAGCCCAGCAGTGGGGCCCTACGGGCCGGCCGCCGCCCGCGGGCAGTCAGGCGCTGCGCTCGGCGCTTGGCCCCAGCCTGGCAAGGCCGAGCGCAGGATCCTTGAGGATGCCAGGGACGAGCACGAGGATGACCAGGCCCTGGCTACCCTGGCAGCTGCTGGGGGCTACGCTCCTATGGGCCCTCGTCGCTCCTAGCCGCTCGGCTGCGGCGACAGCCTGGGGACCCGCGCCGCCGTCAGACTGGCCGACCTGGCACCTGGCGCGAGGAGAGCCACGGCGGCAAAGCGGGTCCGCTCCTGGGCCGAGGTGCGGTCGGGACCGCCGAGGCGTTCCCCCGACGGCCTCGAGCGGGCAGACGGCGGGAGGATTCAGCCCTCCGACGTCGCAGCCGTCTGCCCCGCCCCATGGGAGTCGCGGAGCCGCCGCCGGGTTCACGCCATCCGCCCTTGAGGCGAGAGTGGGCAGGGCTGTGCCAGCCTGTGAGAAGGCTGCTGGGCTGCTCCGTGCAGGCCTCGACGTGCTGGGCATCTACGGCAACACATGTGACCGTGCCTTGGAGGTGCTCGAGGCCCACATCGCGCGGGAGGACGCGCACCTGATCGCCGAGGACCTGATCCACAAGGCTGGGCCTACGACCAGTTTGACATGGGGGCGGACGGTTACTGGTGAAGCCGACGGAGAGTTGCGCGGTGGGCGAGTCACCGCGCGCCCCTGCGACTTCCCCGTGGATGCGGCTGTCCTCACCCTGTGCAGTATCGGCTGGTACTTCAGGTCCGAGCGCTGCCTCATCACGGACGAGTGGGACATGACGCTGATGGGGCTGCTTGAGCTTGGCACGGAGGCCAGCCTTGGGGCGAGGCGCGCCTCGGTTCGGCATGAGATGCGGAAGCTGGCCAGTGCCCCGTCTTTGTGTGGCTCCTCCTTCTGGGATGTCTGCATGGAGCTCGTCGGGCCAGGAGGCGAGCTCGGCGAGCGCCAGAGGAGCGGGCTGGTCTCCCACCTCACGAACGCGCACTGGCCGCAGGCGAGCCTCCACATTATGTTCGAGTGCCCCATGCTTGCGGCCCAGCGGAGGGACTCGGTCTCGCCAGCGCTGAAGTGGAGCGCTGTGCGGGGTCGCCCCCTCGGAGGGGCTGCAAGGGAGGACTTTGCTCGGCGCTGGCTGCCAGCGCCGCCGCCTCCACGAGGGCCTCGCACGGACGCCATGAGTTGCTGGAGGACATGCAGGCCGCCTGATGTCAAGCCCAATGGCAAGTTGTGCGAGGACGGCTCGGCGGTCGGCCTGCAGTTCTACGCCTGGGGACACGCTGGCTGGGCGATTGCTCAATGCGACGACGACGGCAGCCTCGTCGCGGGCGTCTACGTGACCGTCAGGAGGGCCCTCCAGCCACAGCAGGCTGCCCGAGGCGGTGAGGGCTTCGCGGTCTGGAAGGTTGAGGTCCACGCGGGCCCTGCAGTTGAGGAGGTCCTCATCGGCTGCCACGGCACGGCGGAGAGCCACCACAGGGAGCTGGCATATGCGACGGGCCCGACCAAGGCCAACGCCCACCCTTGGAGGAGCCCCGCCGCCCTCGGACCTGGTGGCGCCAGGGCGAACAAGGTGGCCGCCCACGGCAACATGCAGGCGGTGCCCGACGGGCTACGCACGGAGGCGCAGTGGCGCGGCACCCTGCACGCCAGCTGCTCCGACGTGCTGGGAGCACGGCTGCACGCCGAGGCGGCCATCGTCTGGCGGGACATCGCGGAGAAGGACAGTGACTGCTTCCTCGTGTCTGACGAGAAGCAGTGGGTGAGGTTCGCCGACCTGGAGGAGCGGGCCGAGCAGGCCACTGCATGCAGGCCGACGGAGCAGCAGCCGCGCGTGGAGAGCGTCCGCTCGGTGGCCAGCGCGGTCGGCCTCTCCTTCACCACGGCTGGCGCATGCTGCCTCGGCCACTCCCTGGCGTACGCGCTCTGCGGCGGGGGCGAGGAGCCCCAGGAGCTGGTGGCATGCAGCAGGTGCGGCGCCTACGCGGTCCTCGGCAGCCGCGCTGGAGGCCGCCCTGAGCTCAAGGAGCCACGCATCGGGGCAAGGGCCATCGGGCAGCGCAGCCAGCGCCGCCTCTGGGCTCGAGGGCTTCATCCAGGTGGACGGCCACGCGCAGGAGTCCAGCAGCGCATGGTGGAAGGTGCTGAGTTTCCCGCGCTGAGGCTGCAGGGGCCACTGGCCCCGTCGGCCCAAGAGGCTTTGCTGGCCTGGCTGGGCCTCGGGGTCGAAGAGGGCCCCCCGCCAGCAGGTGGCAGTTCAGCGGCAGCGCCTGGGTGTGCAGGCGGCCGCGAGCAGGGGCCAACGACGCGGCCGACGGCGGCGGTGCAGCAGGCGGTGGCGGGCATTGGCCCGCGGGTCGCCACGCTGGCCGCGTGCGGCCTGATTGAGCAGTGCCTCGCCGAGCGGGCGCTGGCCGCCAGCTCCACCGCGGAGGACCGCCGCGACCGCCCGCGGCGCGGCCGCGGCCTGAGCCCTGGCGGCTTGTGCTCGGGCGAGTAGCCCGCTCGGATTCGCCTTCATGGCCCCGCGAATCGAATCGACGACGGCGACGACGGCGGCGACGGCGGCGGCGACGACGAAGACGACGGCGACGACGGCGACGGCGATGGCGACGGCGACGACGACGACGGCGGCGGCGACGACGACGGCGGCGGCGACGGCGGCGACGGCGACGACGACGACGACGACGGCGGCTGCGACGGCGGCGGCGACTGCGGCGACGGCGACGGCGGCGGCGACGGCGACGGCGACGAGGGCACCGGCGACGACGGTGATAACCTCCCACCTCCACCCTCTTCTCTCTTTCTCCTCGTCCTCTTCCTCCCTGTCCGTCCAAAGCCAGGGGAGGGGGTAGACGAATGGGGTGACGAAGGAGTGAAACTTTACCTGAGCCTACGCCCAAATGGCTGGTGGGACTCCTCATCACCAACGCCCGCATATAATTACTATAAGACAGGAGCCTCGACTGAGTCAACCACACAACAAGTACGATGCGCCCTTCCCCTACAGGCATCACAAGTCAGTCAACACCAGTATCTACACGACCACAATGCCAGCCTCACCGTCGGCTTCCGAGTCACCTCGCAGCTCAGACAGCCACAGTCGAGGCAACCGCAGAGATTAGCTCTGTCGATGCTCCTGGGCACAGGCGGTGTAACGAGTTTCCTCATCCAACCTCGTGCCCGAGTGACGAAGGAGTGACTGACAAATGGGGTGACGAAGGAGTGACGAAGGGGTTTAACGAGTTTTCTCATCCAGCCTCATTCTTCCCCTTCGGGGTGGGAATAACCCCCCTCTCCCTATCCTGTCCCCTGGGTCTGGACGGCGGGGGCGGGGGCGCGAGCGTTCAGAGCGTCCGAGATAGCCCCAACATGGCCCGAGAGAGCCCAAGATGACCTCCAAGATGGCACAACAAATCCCAAGATTGGTCAAGATGGCCTCCCCGGTGCTTCCAAGAGGCCCCGAGAACCCCCCCCCATTCGGCGATTACAGAGGGTGCGGTTACGGCGGGGTGTGGGTTGCGATCGGAGGCAGAGGAGGAGGAGGAGGCGGAGGAGGAGGAAAAGGAGGAGGAGGAGGAGGAGGAGGAGGAGGAGGAGAAGGCGGAGGAGGAGGAGGCGGAGGCGGAGGAAGAGGAGGAGGAGGCGGAGGAGGAGGCGAAGGCGGAGGCGGAGGAGGAGGAGGCGGCGGAGGAGGAGGAGGAGGAGGAGGAGGAGGAGGCCTGGGGGGGCCCGACACCGTCCTCGTCGGGCCTCTGCGGGGCGCGGCGCAGAGCTCGATCGAGGCCCCCGCTTGCCCCCCAGGGTTAAGTCGGGCCTGTCCCCCTACAGGGGGATTTCCGACGAAAAATAAAAAATTCCCCGAAAATAGTCCAAACATATTCCAAAAATACGCTGGGAACTATTTTTCGAATATTCTTTACCTTTTTGGGGGTATTTTGGGGTTTGTCTTATTTTTCATGGAAAATCCCCCCGTAGGGGGACACGCCCGACATAACCCCAGGGTGCCCCCCAGGGTGCCAGTTGCAAACCGCACCCTCTGCAAACCACACCCTTTGGAGCCGCCGACCCATGACGGTTCCGAGTGGCCACGGAGCTTCCCAGGGATGCCCTCAGGGGACCGAGGGAGCACGCATGCCAGAGGATCCTTGTACCCTCGGCGTTTCGCTCCCAGTGGGCCCTGAGGCCTCAGAGCGGCTCCCCGATCGCCCGAGAGGGCTCCAAGAGGGCTCCAAGCGGGGCCCAACGAGGGCTCCAATACGGAGGCATGAGTGAGAGGACCGAGCTCCCGGGAGGAGGCGGAGGAGCAGGAGGAGGAGGAGGCGGAGGAGGAGGAGGGGGAGGCGGAGGAGGAGGCGGAGGAGGAGAAGGAGGAGGAGGAGGAGGATCAGGATCAGGAGGATCAGGAGGATCAGGAGGATCAGGAGGCGGAGGAGGAGGAGGAGGAGGAGGAGGAGGAAGAGGAGGAGGAGGAGGAGGAGGCGGAGGCCCTCCCCCTCGTGCTGGGGCTCTCCGCGGCTCCTCCTCGGATCCTCCCGCGGGTCCCGTGGCCGCCCCCGCCCCCCCCCCGCCTCCTGCTCTTAAGTCGGGCCTGTCCCTCTACAGCAGGAATTTCCAACCTTAGTCAAAAATAGGCTGAGGACTATTTTTGTGTCTTTTTTGCTACTGTGGGTCGGAGGTTGATAGACCTCCTACCCTGACACGTCGATTAGAGAATTGGCCGTTTTCGGTTCGCGAGAGGGCGTCGCGGCCGTCATTTTTGCGGGTCCAGGTCCGTCGGTTTCGGTCCTAGGCCGTTTTCACTAAAGGGGGGGTTACTAAAGAAAGGCTGGTCCACCGCCGAGTGAGAACACATTTTGACTGTGTTGAACGTGTTGTTCCAGAATTCCGCCTGTAGGAGGACCTGCCCGACCCAAGCCTACTCCTCCCGACCCTGCTCTCGGGGACAGTTCCGTCTGCCCCTGCCTGTTCCCTTCTCCTCGGAGGGCGCCAGCCCTACGCCCATACCGATCCTGGCCAGGCCCACCGTGGGCCCTGGGCCCAGGAAGGGTGCATACAGAGGAGGCCTCCTCCTCCTCCTCCTCCTCCTCCTCCTCCTCCTCCTCCTCCTCCTCCTCCTCCTCCTCCTCCTCCTCCCCCTCCTCTCCTCCTCCTCCGGGGTGCCCTGGGTGTCTTGGCTTTCGATGGTTCTGCGATGGACAGCGCGACGTTCCCACACCACAGATCCATGGACGTCCTGGGGTCTCAGGGTTGGGATGTTTTTTGTAAAGGTTTCTTGTGGACTGGCCTCCGCTGTAGGCCCTCGTCGCGTGGCGACTAGGGCACATGCGCCAAGCCTCGACCAGCCATCGGCCTGGCCAGGATCGGTGTGGGTGTGTACTTTTAAGTCGGGCCTGTCCCTCCACAGGGGGGAATCTTCAAAAATAGTCCAAACATAGCCTGGGGAGTATTTTTAGCATCTTTGGCAATGCTTGAATCTTGTTTGGGTTATTTTTTGGGGGTATTTTTTCAAATTGTTCGTCCGAAATCCCCCTGTGTAGGGGGACAGGCCCGACCTCAGTCTGCCTGGCGCCCTCCGGTCGCCCTCCGCGGAGACCCGTCCGTGTCCGCGGCCTCGCGGGCCGAGCCCCTTACCCTGACCCTCCGGGAGGGCAACAACAATGGCACCTCCTCCTCCTCCTCCTCCTCCTCCTCCTCCTCCTCCACAATTACTCAATATGAATACTACTCTCCCTCTTCCCCCGACTTAAAAACCTATCCCAGAGCTATTCGACGTCTTGGTTTTAGGCCGTTTCGCTCGTTTTTTTTCTCCGTTTTTTGTTAGGTCTCCAGTGCTAAAAGATAGCTCTCTGGAAGGTCAGGGTCGCGGGCCGAGCCCCTACCCTGACCTTCCAGGAGGGCTAGAAAATGGCACGCGACTAAAAAACCCATCCCAGAGCTATTCGACGTCTTAGTTTTAGGCCGTTTCGCTTCGATGTTTTAGGTTTTTGGGCCTCCCGTGCTGAACAAATAGCTCTCTGGAAGGTCAGGGCAGAGGCCGCGACCCCGCGGATGCGCAGGCGCTCCTCTCGCGGATGCCGCCGCGCGGAGCGCACCCGTGCGGCCAGGGCGCGCCCGGGAGTCCAGGCCAGGAGGGCGCAGATTCCCTAAGGGTTTGTCGACTTTTCGCCAATCGATTCGCGGGGAGCGAGCCAGAGAAAAACCCAGGTAGATGCGGATGGATCTGGGCAAGTCCGGGTAGATCGAGATAGATACGGGTCAATCCAGGTAGATCCAGAGATCTCCGGGGACAGTTGGAGCAACTCGCGGCCGCTCCAGCGCGAGTCGAAGGACGGCAGAAGTCGTTGAGCCTTCAACGACAGATGCGGATATGTTCGCCGCTCGTGGAGCTTCTTCTCCCTTTGTATGTCCTTCATGGGAGCCTCAGGAGGTCCCAAAATTCCTCACGGTTTGGGGGATTTCGCGCGGACTTCGTCGGATGTGGTCGACATTTGGTCGACATTTGGACGGCACTTGGACGAAAGGGTGAAGAGGGCTGGCCGAAATCGGGACGAAATCCAGTCGAAACCACGTTTATATGGTAGAGCCACGGAGGTCCACAGAGTCTCCCATGAAGCCTCACCCAGCTCCCTCCGCCAGACTCCCCCCTCGCCCCCACAGGCGGCCAGGGGTGTCCCCTCCCTTGCACTGTCAGCAGCGGGGCCCTAGGAGAGCCGCCTCCAGCGGCCCCCCCCCGCCGAGAGCGCTGTGTTTTTTTCTGAGGCCCCGGGGGGGGGGGGCCCAGGCCGGCCTCTGCGAGGGCAGGGCCCGCATCCAGACTCCTTGCAGAGGCCTCTGCAAGCCTGCGACATAAAACGACGCGAAGATCGGGACAAAGTCGGATCGGGATAACTCGAAATCTCTGAGAATCGGCGGGTTTGGAGGATGTCTTGGGTGCCGCGGCCGCTCCAGAGCGTTCCGGAACGCTCTGAGAGCGCTCCGGAACGCTCTGGAGCGATTTATCCCGATCCCAGCCCTGTTTTACGACACCCTGCGCACGGTCAACCCGCACAGTAGAGAGGAGCGACTCTCCATGGTTGCGGTATGTTCGCGCGGCGTCGACGCGCTGGCGACGCCAGCGAGGGCGTGAAAGGTTGAACTCTGCGACGCGGAAGCGTCGATGGGCACGGTGTGATGCCACTGGACCCGACCGGATTCAACCTTGAACAATCGGGGCCGCGATCGATTCAAGATTGACGATCGACGCGGTGTCAGGAATTTTTGCGCGCGCCGACGCCGCACGAACCTACCGTATTCCAAATCCCTTATTAATCGTCCCCCGGGTCCGGTTTTTTAAGGCGCCTTTTTGGTCATTAAGGGGGTCCGGTTTATTAGGTCGCTTTCTTTGGATTGGAGCTGAGGGGGTCTGGTTTACTAAGGCGCCCCCTCGAAGAGGGGGTCCGGAATATTAGGTCGCATTTGGAGGGGGGTCCGGTTTTTTAGGGGGGGGTCGATTAATAAGGGATTTGGAGTACCCTTGCATCCTTCCCCTTCGGCTCATCCTTGGCCGCTTCCGCTGGCCGCGCCCCGCCCGCACAGCGCCGGCATGGCCTTCTAAGGCCCTCGCATCCTCGTCGTGCGGCTTTTATTATGCTGCGGAGGGGAGACAACACACAGACACTTGTACTTGTCGACCCCCAGGGAAATGCGGGAAACTATGGGAAGTGGGGGGAAGACGAGAACCCAGAGGAGATGGTCCATGTGGGGAATCCGGTGTTTTGTGTGTATTTGCTTGTGTGTGTGCCTCTGGTCCCTTGATATGTGCCCACATCTCTTGGCAGAGGCCTCTAAGAGCCTAATGATCGAGGTTGAAGAACCTCCTACCCTGACACGTCGATTAGCGAATTGGCCGTGTTCGGCTTGCGAGAGGGCGTCGCGGCCGTCATGTTGACGGGTCCAGGCCCGTCGGTTTCGGCCCTGGGCCGTTTTCATCAAAGGGTGGTTTGCTAAAGGCAGGTGTGTCCACCGCCGAAATGACGCCCCCCCCCCGGAGCGACGACTCTAAGAACAGTATGTTTTTCTTGATCTGCGGGGTGAGAGCGAACCTCTTCCGCTGAAAACTATAGGCGGGCTGCGCACAGCTTTGATCAGGGAGACAGGGCACAGGAAGGCGGGGCCTCGCGACTCTAAAAACACCCTGATGGTCCGCTACCGAAAATTCCGGTAGCGCTCCGCAGAGATCGGTCGCTACCGAAATACCGAAATGTAGCGCCCAATACCGGTATCAGAGCGTTCTGAAATCCGCTATTTCAACCCCCTCAAACGAAGATCCGGTCGCTACCGAAATTCGGGGTGCGTCAAAATCGCTACCGAAAATTTCCGGTACCAGACCATCTGGGCAGGGGGGCCCGTCTTCGCCGACCCCGGCGCGCAAACGCCGCCCCCCTTCGCCGAGCGGTGGCGCGCCGGCGCCCTCGCCTCTGCCCGTGCGGCGCGCCGCGGCGGCGGCTCGCGCGCAGGCCACCTCGCAGGGCCGCCGTGCCGATCTCGCGCAGGGTGCCTTTGAGTTTTGCTTTCGCTCGCCTGTGTACACCCTTGGCGATGCTTAAGAAAACTCGATTTTTCGGCCAGAGCCTCGATTATTCTTCATGTTTCAATGTAATTCTAAAGATTTTGATATAATCTCTGGGTTCTTAATCAAATTCTGAGACTCTGAATTTCTTAACCCATGATTTCTTGAGCATTTCGCAGGGTGTAGGGTTCAGTCGGGCATGTCCCTCTACAGGAGGAGTGTGCAGAAGTAGTCGCGCAAAACAGTCCGGGGACGTTTTTTTTTAGCCTTCCTGGCCTATTTTGAGGCGTTTGTTGAGCATTGTACTGTTTCTTCCCAGCTCCGCCTGTAGGGGACGGGCCCGACGTAAGTGTAGGGGCCGCAAGATCGCATCTTGTCTCGTCGCTCTCCTGTGCAGGTCGGGTATAGCCTGGACCCCTGGTAAGGGGACCCGGTTAGTAGCAGGGCCCTGGAGCCCCTGAGTTGGCCAGGATCACTAAACCAGGTCTGCCGTAGCCGGTGCTTTTTCGGGTGACGGCAGTTCTGGTCAGTGGAACGGGGCGGGGTGGCGTCCCCCAGTGCACATCATAACTCAGCCA